TGGCGCAAATAAATTCCTGTATTTTTCGCACGATATGGCGCACCGTCAATGAATGGCCTATTTTAACTGTTTTTCTATCGACGGCGCATCGAATTGAAGCTACATTAGTGGCTGCGGTTGCGCTATGCATCCACTAGATGGAGCCACACAAAAGGGAATACAATACAATACAGCTTCATGGAGATCTTTCACAACTGCTGTAAAAAAGAAAAAACAAAAAGCACTTTCCAGAACATTTAAAATACTACATCCAAAAATTTGAATATTGATCCATCTACAAATGATGACACTCACCGTCGGCTTTTGAAGAAAATGCAATTCTTTTAGGTGCGCCTTATCGTGCGGACAATAGGGTGCATTTAATGTCCCCGTATGAAATAAAAAAAGCTCAAATCTAACTCATCAAATGAGAAGTTCAGCTTAGTCCACGAACAATATCAAAATTTGAATGAAATTTGTCCCCATCTGCATTTTTTTAAATATACTAATCATTCAGAACTGCTTTCTTCCCCCCTCCAGACTATTGTGGAGCTGGCAGAGACGGGAAGCTTGGATCTCAGCATCTTTTGCAGCACTTGCTTGGTAAGCCGGGATCACTCCCCCCCCCCTCCCCCCCATATTTAAACACAAATATGATTCTTGAAAAAAAATCGATTCTGTCACGCTTCCTGCTCAGATACGGAAGCCGATCAGATCCAAACACTGCGCCGTGTGCAACCGCTGCATCGCCAAGTTCGACCACCACTGCCCCTGGGTGGGCAACTGCGTGGGTACGTCGCCCGATCGTATTTCACCCGAGCCGATAAATGTGGCGCCGTCTCAATGATCGCAGTCGAGGGATGAGCAGCGGCTCATTTGCATGAGACGGGACCGCCCCTTTCCCCATTGTCACCTCAAACCGTTCCGTTTGCAAACAGAAGCACAAAAAGCAGGAAGTCACTTTTAAATTTTTTATTTTTTTTCCTGTCCACAGGAAGCGGGAACCACCGCTACTTCATGGGTTACCTCTTCTTCCTGCTGTGCATGATCTGCTGGATGATGTACGGCTGCATCTCCTGTGAGTGCATCCCCCCACCCGGTTGTCACCGGAAAGCGAAACGTTAACGCCTCCAAAATTTCCTAATAACGCCGTCTCCGTGCGCCGCAGACTGGAGGATCCACTGCGCCACCACTTACGCCAAGGACGGCTTCTGGCTCTACCTGACCCAGATCGCCGCCTGCTCGCCGTGGATGTTCTGGATGTTCCTCAACAGCGTCTTCCACTTCATGTGGGTGGCTGTGCTCATCATGTGTCAGCTCTACCAGGTCGGGACGCCTCGTTATATTTTGCATCGTCGAGCATAAAACACAACTTGCTGACAGTGCCATTTTTTTTTCCTCCCTCCCTCCCTCCCAGATCGCCGCTCTAGGAATCACCACCAACGAGCGGATGAACGCTCGGCGGTACAAGCACTTTAAAGTCACGGCCACGTCCATCGAAAGCCCTTTCAAGTAAGTGTTTCAAAGATTGGATTTTCCTCACCATAATTTGAGCCTCCCGCAGCTGCACTCCTTGTAATTTTCAAAGTGGTTCATTTCGAACCCGGCCCAAGCGCAAGCCAGGCTTCGATGTGCACCGGTGTGATTTTGAGCAAGTGACTTCACTGTGGTTGCCCAAAGTGCAGCTTTGCCTACTTTTTAAGGAAGCCACTCAAAATGTCAACATGCGAAGCCAAAAACCACATTTACGTTTGTTTGGGGGCGGGGGGAATACACTTAACTCATTCAGTACCAGCCAATTCTGAAAAGATGTTCAAAAACGACTTTGGGAATGAATGAGTGAACATGAAATACTGCGCGGCCCGGTGGACTAGTGGTTAGCGCGTCGACCTCACAGTCTTGGGTTCAATCCCCGCTCCGGCCTCCCTGTGTGGAGTGTGCATGTTCTCCCCGGGCCTGCGTGGCTTTTCTCCGGGTACTGCGATTTCCTCCCGCATTCCAAAAACAAGAATATATTTTATAGTCATGCTTTTCAATATTTTAGCCTGACTTTTCATATCATCGAGCATTCATTCCCCCTTGTTCGTCCCTCTCTTTTTTTTTTTTTACAGCCACGGCTGCATCCGAAACCTCATCGACTTCTTCGAGATCCGCTGCTGCGGCCTGATGCGGCCCGTGGCGGTGGACTGGACGGCGCAGTACACAATAGACTACGACCAGACGTCAG